ATTTATTTCATAAAGTTCTAGATGTCTGAACATTTTTCTTTAATAAAATATTCTTCACCTGTTCATGATTACAGAACACAACATCAGGTTCTCCAGCCCGTGTTTATCCTGTTGGAGGACTTTGCTACTACTTCTATCCACCAGAGTCTTTTTTTTCAGTCCAGGCTCTAATTTACATCTTTTTCATGCTCGGCTCATGTGCTGTTTTCTCCAAAAGTTGGATTGAAGTTTCAGGCTCTTCTGCAGAAGATGTAAGTCATAACTGCAGTCTGTCAAGTGGAGGAGGTGTGGGTTAGTTTTCAAAGTCATTTTTGTATCCAAGCTGTGCTCCTCATCACCATCCAGGTAGCAAAACTGCTGAAGGATCAGCAGATGGTGATTAGAGGACACAGTGAAACTTCAATGGTTCATGAACTGAACAGGTAAAATCAAGATTTTCACTTCATGGTGTTAATTTGGGATTTTAATCAACTAAGCAAACTAAACATGAACCATCTTGATTTATAAGTAAAGCAAGAGAGCAGATTTTATTACAATGTCAATGGATTGTACTATTCATACTTATGAATGTACAGTTGGGGCTACAGAGTGGCGCAGTAGGTAGCACTGTTGTTTTACAGCAAATATGTCCTAGGTTCAATCCTGGGGGTGGGGTCTTTCTGCGTGGAGTTAGCATTTTCTCTCCGGGTACTCCTGCTTCCTCCCACAGTCCAAAAACATGATTGTCAGGTTAATTGGTTTCTCTAAATTATCCTTCGGTTGAAGGTTGAATGATTCTCCAAATTACGACTTTGATTATTTTATTAATAATCAGAGAGAGCACATGTTTTAATTTATTGGGTATTTTGTCTCAGGATAAAATACATGCAAGCATTCATCTAACAAGTAGGACTTAAAGTGCTATATGTGTGTTAACTTCTTACATTCATAAACATAAAAAAAGATCCTCCACCAGTTAATCTGTATCTTTTTGTGCATTCTTCTCTGCTTTCTCAAAACGCCAGAGTTTGTGCAAAGTGCAGTCTTAAGTGAGACGGTACGCCGTTTGTAGTCTGAACAAACGTTTCACAGTGCCACCTACTGGCAGCGGCAAATAATTAGATTGTTTTCAATATACATCACAGCAACCGTTCTCCTGGTACTGCGTACCGGTGTACCGGTGTTAAAGCTGACAGTCAGAACACCAGCGCATAATCTTTTAGCTGCAGAACCGGGCTGTACCGGTTTACTTCCACCCCTGCCAGTTCTATATATAAAACGATGATCTTTTATGGCCATGACGACTGTCTTAACTCTTCCTTATTTACCTCCGACTCAATTTGTTATTATTTATTCAACCATATCAATTTTCCCAAATCTTCTCTTTTTAGGTACATTCCAACTGCTGCTGCCTTTAGTGGACTTTGCTGTGGTGGTTTATCTGTGATGGCGCACTTCCTCGGTGCCTTTGCCTCTGGCAACGACATCCTGGTGGTTGTCATCATAATCTATGAATATTTTGAAATCTTTGTGAAAGAACAAAGTGAAGTAAGCAGGATACGGGCATTACTCTTCTAAAAATAATATGTCATCCTGACATATTTTGCTAACTTCTATTATTTTTTTCTGTTTTTACCTTCTGTTCTTTCTTTACAGTCATGAACTGTATCTGTTCATATTTGGATTTGAGGGCTTGAAAACTTTTGCGACAGAAGGACATCTGCAGCTCAGACTTCATCTTCACCTCTGACTGGAATAGAGGGCTTGAAGACTTGTTTTAGATAATGTACCTTAATATTTTCATTTCTTCAAATTGTGTAATTTTTCAAATTAAAATCTTTTCTGTGGGTTAATTAGTATTAAACAAACATAGGTTCCATATTTGTACTGAAGTTTGATGCCCACATTTTGGCCCAACATGGCAGCCAAGGTGTCAGTATGGTGCTGGGTGGTTGGCACCACCAACCATCATCAATGTTTTTCCAGCGATTTTCTAGTTGAATACAGAACTAATTTATTTTAATTTATAACAGTTTAAATTGACCATCATTTTTAAAAAAAATCTTACTTCTGTTTTTGATTATTGGAATGTCGCAACAACTTTCTTAAACTTTAGAATCGGTATAACTACTTGCTATATAACTTTAATCACCTTTGTCTATGCATGGCTGTATGTTTCATGTAATCGTGTCATTGAAAGGAAAACAGGCATATTGCATCTACATGAGGCATGTGGTTGTTACCTCTGATGTGCTTGGGTTTGAGGGTTTGGTTGGAAGCCTGTGAATTGCCTACTTTTGTTAGATGAAAATCACTGATACTGCTGTGGACTTGAAGTTCTTGGGGAACATCTCAAATATTCTGTTTGCAAAACACCTGTTTAGTCAGAAAAATGCATTTTAGCCCTTTCAAACTTCTGGGCTAACCCCCATGCCGTATCGTGGATTCTCCAGAGTTGTGTGTTATGATTGATATGAAGGTGATTATGACCACAATTTAGCTGAGTTCAATATCTGCTTGGCTCCTGGCTTCCTCTGACAATGAAATTATGGCTCCAATTGTTTGGAAACTTGCAAAACAAGTTTAACTTTAATTCTAGAGAAATGGGAAATGCATATAACAATATGTTTATACGACAAATATCCAAATAAAATGCTGAAAGGTGAAAAAATCTTAATGAAGATGTATTGTATGAAGTACAGGATGTGTGAAGCAGAGGAGACTTTTCTGATTATTCAACGTTAGAGATATAAGATGTTAATATTATGTTTGAAACAAATGACAGTCTACAACAAGAAACACTAATGTTACAGTTTCTTAGCAGTCTTAGCTTTAAACCTTTAAATTTTGGTCCCTCACTTTCTTATTTCACTTTCTTATAACCCTAACTTTGTTACATTTGTCAGAAGAGAAGTTGTATTACTTGTGATGCATTATTGGTTCAGCTTTTCAGGTGTTATTGCAACTCTGTTGCTGATAGCTTCAACATACACTTGTTCAGAATCAAAACTGTTTTAAACTTTACATCTGAACTGCTTGCTAATTAATAACTGTCTTCTGTTGAAACAGAAAACTATAGCTGTTATTTTGAGAACCTCCTAGTCGGTGTGTGCTGGCCTCTGCTTCAACTGTCTTCGTCTGTCGGCTTGGCTCATGTCTGCCTGTCTATTCAAGATAGACAGAGAGATAGTCAAACAATGTTTATAGTAAACAATGTCTCTAGTTAACAATGAGCATAAATAGGCTTGCTTGGCTAAAAAGTAAACACGCAAGGCCAATTCAGAGTGCAATCATCCATGAAACAACAAGAGGTATTTACAAAACTGTGGCAAAAATCGATTTTTCTATTTTTATGAATGCCACAATTCAATAAATAAATGGATTTAAATGTTTGTTGTTGTTTTTTTTTTAGTTATTAATTGTGTATCTGCCCTGTTTTGCAGTAAATGATCAAATAATTTTCACCTCAGACAGGACGATTGGTCACCTGATGATTTGCTGTGCATATTAACTAGTTTGGATGGATTATACGTGCATTTTCAATTATTTCATTATGGTCTGCAATCTAAGTGCTAAATAAATACTCAACTGAATAAACCTGATTTTTATTCAAAAAAGTAATGCACAGTACTTAATAAATTAAGCTGCACAACTTTTCAATTGTGTCCCTTATTTAATAAATTATCAGCACAAAAATAATAATACATATTTTGTAATAAATTTAATGAAGCTAAAATTATCACATATATTAATGTAATATCAAATAAAACATTTTCACTGAATTGTGGCTCTTTTTTGTTCATTTTTATTTGTTTCCAAAAATACAGTCCATTGCGATTTTAATAAAAAAAAAAACTGTATCAATTGCACTTGTTTGCAGTACAGATTTTCAAGAAGTGCATTATGTGCTGGCATTCTTTGCTAAACCTGAGCACTTCCACGTTGCTCAATGCGGTAGTAGTACTTCCGTTTTAAGCAGAGAAAAAAACCCTACGAACATAGCTTTGATCTTTTAACCCAATGAGAACAGGATGTATGGCCACTGATGAATACATTTTACGCGAAGCCGCTAAAATGGACGCTGTCTCTTTAAATCTTTGAGCTTCGTGTCTGTAACGGTGACGTGTCTTTCTCCTCCTTCTCCCGGTGGCTCAGTCAGTCAGTCAGTCAGTCATTGAGATTCACTCCGAGCCGATTTTCACTGGAGTGGAAAGGATATACGACCATTGTTAAGACATCATGGGTAGTAAGTACCACTTTTTGAATGAATCTTTATACGACTGATGCTTGTAGCCTCTGAAGAAAACCTCATGTTGTTGTTTGGTCTGTTTTCTAACTTAGTTAGCTTACTCTATTAGGGTTCACGTTAGCTTCCATTGCTAGCTAGCGTGTAAATTGTTGCTTTTTTTACCGCTATAAAATATTTCTGATAAAAACCTATTTATGGAAATAATTCAGCGAACTTGTAATATTTTAGAAATGTAGTTTATTATTTTTCTTTTTGTTCTAAAGTTCTAAGCTGCAGACCGAGTTAGCTAGAAACATATAATGAGCTAACCACTCATTCAAACACTGACAGTCTAGTGATGACGATGCATAACAGATTTGCTCTTATCTTTATCTCACTGTCAATAAAATCAACCACTACAATCATGTGGTACAGATGAATACTTGTAAAACAGCCAGCAACAGCGCAATAATAAATATTTTATAATATTATGCATTGTGAGTATTTAAATTTCCCATGAGTCCGCCCCACTCTCTATGCCACGTCCTACTCATCCCCACCAATTATTCCCAGTCAAAACTCTCATGTTTGTTTCCAGTTAAATTCTTGGAGGTAATAAAGCCGTTCTGTGCGGTCCTACCAGAGATCCAGAAACCTGAAAGAAAGGTAAATATTTTTCATTTATAGTGTTGTTATTAAATGACCTTTTATCTTGGTTTATGCAGCTTCCTCTTTTTGTAATTCCTAACAATATGTGACCAACAGATCCAGTTCAGAGAAAAGGTGCTATGGACGGCAATTACTCTCTTCATCTTTCTTGTGTGTTGCCAGGTAATTAAGACAAAACGCTTTCAATATACCAAAGTCTACTTATCATGTCGAACATTGTAAATAATTGCTGTTTCTTTGACTCTAGAAATATCAGGTTAATGTGTATCTAGTAGTTATATTTATTTATTTATTTTTTGTCACTTTCAGCTTTTTATCAACCTGAATGTGACATTGTGACATTGTGACATTGTCAATGTCATATAGAATATGAAGTTAGCATCTGCCATCTCTTCAGTGGCAGATACTAACTTCCTACTGTCATTGTATGTCATAAATAGTTTTAGAAAAGGAAGTTACTTTAAACATTATCTACTAACTAATTCAGTCTTTCTCATGAACTCTGTTCCTTCAGATTCCTCTTTTTGGCATAATGTCATCAGATTCTGCAGATCCATTCTACTGGATGAGAGTCATTCTGGCTTCAAATAGAGGTATCCATCCAACATGCTAAGCAAAATGAAATGTAGAACTAAAGTCCTGTCGACATGAGCTAACGGATCTATCTTCATGTAGGTACTCTGATGGAGCTGGGTATCTCGCCTATTGTCACCTCAGGCCTGATAATGCAGCTGCTGGCTGGAGCTAAGATCATTGAAGTTNGCTCCAATTGTTTGGAAACTTGCAAAACAAGTTTAACTTTAATTCTAGAGAAATGGGAAATGCATATAACAATATGTTTATACGACAAATATCCAAATAAAATGCTGAAAGGTGAAAAAATCTTAATGAAGATGTATTGTATGAAGTACAGGATGTGTGAAGCAGAGGAGACTTTTCTGATTATTCAACGTTAGAGATATAAGATGTTAATATTATGTTTGAAACAAATGACAGTCTACAACAAGAAACACTAATGTTACAGTTTCTTAGCAGTCTTAGCTTTAAACCTTTAAATTTTGGTCCCTCACTTTCTTATTTCACTTTCTTATAACCCTAACTTTGTTACATTTGTCAGAAGAGAAGTTGTATTACTTGTGATGCATTATTGGTTCAGCTTTTCAGGTGTTATTGCAACTCTGTTGCTGATAGCTTCAACATACACTTGTTCAGAATCAAAACTGTTTTAAACTTTACATCTGAACTGCTTGCTAATTAATAACTGTCTTCTGTTGAAACAGAAAACTATAGCTGTTATTTTGAGAACCTCCTAGTCAGTGTGTGCTGGCCTCTGCTTCAACTGTCTTCGTCTGTCGGCTTGGCTCATGTCTGCCTGTCTATTCAAGATAGACAGAGAGATAGTCAAACAATGTTTATAGTAAACAATGTCTCTAGTTAACAATGAGCATAAATAGGCTTGCTTGGCTAAAAAGTAAACACGCAAGGCCAATTCAGAGTGCAATCATCCATGAAACAACAAGAGGTATTTACAAAACTGTGGCAAAAATCGATTTTTCTATTTTTATGAATGCCACAATTCAATAAATAAATGGATTTAAATGTTTGTTGTTGTTTTTTTTTTAGTTATTAATTGTGTATCTGCCCTGTTTTGCAGTAAATGATCAAATAATTTTCACCTCAGACAGGACGATTGGTCACCTGATGATTTGCTGTGCATATTAACTAGTTTGGATGGATTATACGTGCATTTTCAATTATTTCATTATGGTCTGCAATCTAAGTGCTAAATAAATACTCAACTGAATAAACCTGATTTTTATTCAAAAAAGTAATGCACAGTACTTAATAAATTAAGCTGCACAACTTTTCAATTGTGTCCCTTATTTAATAAATTATCAGCACAAAAATAATAATACATATTTTGTAATAAATTTAATGAAGCTAAAATTATCACATATATTAATGTAATATCAAATAAAACATTTTCACTGAATTGTGGCTCTTTTTTGTTCATTTTTATTTGTTTCCAAAAATACAGTCCATTGCGATTTTAATAAAAAAAAAAACTGTATCAATTGCACTTGTTTGCAGTACAGATTTTCAAGAAGTGCATTATGTGCTGGCATTCTTTGCTAAACCTGAGCACTTCCACGTTGCTCAATGCGGTAGTAGTACTTCCGTTTTAAGCAGAGAAAAAAACCCTACGAACATAGCTTTGATCTTTTAACCCAATGAGAACAGGATGTATGGCCACTGATGAATACATTTTACGCGAAGCCGCTAAAATGGACGCTGTCTCTTTAAATCTTTGAGCTTCGTGTCTGTAACGGTGACGTGTCTTTCTCCTCCTTCTCCCGGTGGCTCAGTCAGTCAGTCAGTCAGTCATTGAGATTCACTCCGAGCCGATTTTCACTGGAGTGGAAAGGATATACGACCATTGTTAAGACATCATGGGTAGTAAGTACCACTTTTTGAATGAATCTTTATACGACTGATGCTTGTAGCCTCTGAAGAAAACCTCATGTTGTTGTTTGGTCTGTTTTCTAACTTAGTTAGCTTACTCTATTAGGGTTCACGTTAGCTTCCATTGCTAGCTAGCGTGTAAATTGTTGCTTTTTTTACCGCTATAAAATATTTCTGATAAAAACCTATTTATGGAAATAATTCAGCGAACTTGTAATATTTTAGAAATGTAGTTTATTATTTTTCTTTTTGTTCTAAAGTTCTAAGCTGCAGACCGAGTTAGCTAGAAACATATAATGAGCTAACCACTCATTCAAACACTGACAGTCTAGTGATGACGATGCATAACAGATTTGCTCTTATCTTTATCTCACTGTCAATAAAATCAACCACTACAATCATGTGGTACAGATGAATACTTGTAAAACAGCCAGCAACAGCGCAATAATAAATATTTTATAATATTATGCATTGTGAGTATTTAAATTTCCCATGAGTCCGCCCCACTCTCTATGCCACGTCCTACTCATCCCCACCAATTATTCCCAGTCAAAACTCTCATGTTTGTTTCCAGTTAAATTCTTGGAGGTAATAAAGCCGTTCTGTGCGGTCCTACCAGAGATCCAGAAACCTGAAAGAAAGGTAAATATTTTTCATTTATAGTGTTGTTATTAAATGACCTTTTATCTTGGTTTATGCAGCTTCCTCTTTTTGTAATTCCTAACAATATGTGACCAACAGATCCAGTTCAGAGAAAAGGTGCTATGGACGGCAATTACTCTCTTCATCTTTCTTGTGTGTTGCCAGGTAATTAAGACAAAACGCTTTCAATATACCAAAGTCTACTTATCATGTCGAACATTGTAAATAATTGCTGTTTCTTTGACTCTAGAAATATCAGGTTAATGTGTATCTAGTAGTTATATTTATTTATTTATTTTTTGTCACTTTCAGCTTTTTATCAACCTGAATGTGACATTGTGACATTGTGACATTGTCAATGTCATATAGAATATGAAGTTAGCATCTGCCATCTCTTCAGTGGCAGATACTAACTTCCTACTGTCATTGTATGTCATAAATAGTTTTAGAAAAGGAAGTTACTTTAAACATTATCTACTAACTAATTCAGTCTTTCTCATGAACTCTGTTCCTTCAGATTCCTCTTTTTGGCATAATGTCATCAGATTCTGCAGATCCATTCTACTGGATGAGAGTCATTCTGGCTTCAAATAGAGGTATCCATCCAACATGCTAAGCAAAATGAAATGTAGAACTAAAGTCCTGTCGACATGAGCTAACGGATCTATCTTCATGTAGGTACTCTGATGGAGCTGGGTATCTCGCCTATTGTCACCTCAGGCCTGATAATGCAGCTGCTGGCTGGAGCTAAGATCATTGAAGTTGGAGACACCCCAAAGGATAGAGCGCTCTTTAACGGAGCTCAGAAATGTATGAAACACTGACCTGCTGTGAGCTAAAAAATTAATTTGTATTTTGGATCATCTAATCTTTTGATGTTTTCAGTGTTTGGGATGATCATCACCATCGGTCAGGCCATTGTTTATGTGATGACTGGCATGTATGGAGATCCATCAGAGATGGGTGCAGGGATCTGCTTGCTCATCATCATCCAGGTAGGAATGACAAAAAGAGTTTTGACTGATGAAAGCGTTTGGAAAAATAATGTGTAAATTAGAGAATTTCTGAAGAAGTTTAAAATAGGCCTGCCAAAGAGTCCATATCGGTTGTATCGGACTAACTTTTGACTAATATTGACTCTATGTAGAATGCAAGCCTCACTTCATAAAACTGCTAAATTCCCAATAATATTTTTTATTTCATATATTTGTGTTAACTGGACTGGTTGTATTTCTTTGCAGCTGTTTGTAGCAGGGCTGATTGTGCTGCTCCTGGATGAATTGCTCCAAAAGGGCTATGGCCTCGGTTCAGGAATCTCGCTGTTCATTGCCACCAACATCTGTGAGACCATCGTCTGGAAGGCCTTTAGTCCCACCACTGTGAACACAGGAAGAGGTAAACAAAAAACTTAACCATTCTTCCAAAAGATTTCCTGATGTATTAAATATGCCTCTTTAAATTTTCTCAAACTTGTTTTTCTATTCCTAAGAAATCACAGAAATATTCATCACTTTTGTAATTTTGTGTTGCAGGAACAGAATTTGAGGGAGCAGTCATCGCTCTTTTTCACCTCCTCGCCACAAGGACTGACAAAGTGCGTGCTCTCCGGGAGGCCTTCTACAGGCAGAACCTCCCCAACCTCATGAACCTCATCGCTACAGTGTTCGTCTTTGCTGTAGTTATATACTTTCAGGTGTGTTTCCATGCAACTGTCAAGCAAATTTTGAGCAAAGTTTTAACAGCAGAAAAAAATCTAAATTAATGAGAATTAGGCATGTTTTCTATCTACTGGTTTGAGGCTAATCAAACCAGTAGACAAAACCAGGTCACACAAAGCGTTATTTCATCAAATACTGGCAGTACGTATGGCTGTAAAATAATAAGATGTAGAAAACTCAAATGTCTCAGTGTTTATATTGATGTGGAGGCTAAATCACTGGAAACTGGAATTACAAGCAGCATTTTAGCTAAAGTTTTGAAATCAGGGAACTTCTCTCCAATTGAAGCGATCTGAACTCTGCAAGACTCTCTGAATGACGGAGAATACACTTCTTCTGCTCCAAATCTGCTCTAAGTGTCCTGTCCAAATTCTTCAGCACTCTGTCAGATTCCTAGTAGTACGATGCCTTTAGTTCAGTATTATGATCAGAGATGATTTTCAGTTGGAAATGTTATTTTTGATTAATTGAGCACAACGTACTCTGTGCAAAGTTGAAAATGTCTTTGTACTAAGTTCTGTGTGAATTGTAATGTGTCAACAATGGATAGTCTACAGATTTTACCATCACGGTTTAAAAAAAACACAAAGACTGAACTCCATCACTCCCAGCTCAGCCAGGAGAGCCTCTCCTCTGCCACCCGAGTCTCCACTCCATGCTGGAGTTTCATGCACAGACCTGTCAGTGTATGAAAAAGTTCGCTATGCCAGAACTTATTTGGCAAACATGTTTTCATCTCAGTTTTTTTTACATATTAACTATGTTTTGGAAAAGACAAAAACTATTTCAAGCAAGCCTGCAAACATTTTTTGCTAAATTTAAGATTTTATTTATTTTTTTTTTTTTTTTTTTTACTTTTGCTGTTTCGATCCAACTTTTAATGCAATGCTTCAAAATGCGCTTAAAAAAGTGACTGATTCTACAGTATTAGTTGAGCCTCATCTAATACAAAACTCTGATCTTCTCACAGGGATTCAGAGTGGATCTGCCCATCAAATCTGCTCGCTACCGTGGCCAATATAACACATACCCCATCAAGCTTTTCTACACCTCCAACATTCCCATCATCCTGCAGTCTGCTTTGGTCTCCAACCTGTATGTTATCTCCCAGATGCTTTCCACACGCTTCAGTGGGAATTTCCTGGTGAATCTGCTTGGAACGTGGTCTGTAAGTTCACCAGTATTTACCTGCTTTAAGTATTTTTTTTAAGCACTGAGTCATACTTTATGATTCCCTCTCTGTTTTAACAATATTATATTAAAATTAAATTGTTTTCTTTTTTTCTACCATATACTAACAGGTGATTGGGATGTAACATGGTCAAGTCTGTATAAGGATCCAAATGTGAAGCTGTAGAGTAAAATAGATGAAGGAACAATATTTAGTATGTAAATGTAGAAAGATCAAACTTGGCTGGGAAATCCTAAGCAAATATTCTCAGACCTCGGAATAACTGAAGTGCTATAGAGTAGGTTGCACCAATTGCAGTTTTTTGGCCGATCGCTGATTACCGATCTTTTAAAAAGCCTAACTTACCTATTCCGATTCTGGCCGATACCAGGTCAGCCAGTTTGTCAGTCAAACCTTTCTCACAGGAGAAAAGAAAAGCATAGTGGTTGATTTTTAGACCTTTGCTGAGGTTGATGACATCGGTGGATAAAAATGGCTTCACATATAAAAGTTGGCCGATCACCGATCTCCCAAACTTAAGGAAATCGGCACAGATAAATCAGCTGCCTGATGAATCAGTGCACCCCTACTATAGAGTGAAACACTACAAGTTTGGTTGGCTGCTGAATTGAGATATTCAGCAGCGTCTGGGTTTGAGAGCAGGGTATTTCTACAAGTGTTGGCACTGATGCTCCACTATATGATTTGGTATTATTTTACTGTCTTTTATCATGACCTCAGAGCTCCTCATACACTGAAAGTTGCTGCACATTGTCTATGTTTACACTCAGATCGCTTGTCGACTAGACGGTTTAAAATCATAAGACATTTTTCTATTACCAAGCTTTTTGTTTATCAAAACAAATTCATAGGAAGCCAACTGTATTTCATATATTTCTAGATGTTTGGTCATTTTTCTTTAATAAAATATTCTTTACCTGTTCATGATTACAGGATGCAACGTCAGGTGGTCCAGCCCGTGCCTATCCTGTCGGAGGACTTTGCTACTACCTCTCTCCACCAGAGTCGTTTGGTTCTGTTCTAGATGACCCAGTCCATGCTCTAATTTACATCTTTTTCATGCTCGGCTCATGTGCCTTTTTCTCCAAAACTTGGATTGAAGTTTCAGGCTCTTCTGCAAAAGATGTAAGTCATGGCTGCAGTCTGTCAAGTGGGTTTGTTTTCAACGTCATTTGTTGTATTCAAGCTTTGCTCTTCATCTCCATCCAGGTAGCGAAGCAGCTGAAGGAGCAGCAGATGGTGATGAGAGGACACAGAGAAACCTCAATGGTTCATGAACTGAACAGGTAAAACGGTTTTCACTTCCTGGTGTTTGTTTGGTCAGATAAGTCATTTGGCCATGATGACTGTCTTTACTCTTCTTTAATTACTTCTGACTGTGTTTATAATTTTTTTCAGCCTTGTAAATTTTCCCAAAATCTTTTTCTTTTTAGGTACATTCCAACCGCTGCTGCCTTTGGTGGACTTTGCATCGGCGGTTTATCGGTGATGGCGGACTTCCTCGGTGCCATCGGTTCTGGCACCGGTATCTTACTGGCCGTCACCATCATTTATCAGTACTTTGAAATCTTTGTGAAAGAACAAAGTGAATTAGGCAGCATGTCGGCCATGTTCTTCTAAAAAAGAAAAAGAAAAGAAGCTGTGATCCTGCCGTCTCCTGCCAGCTTTTATTGAGTTTTGTCTGTATTTCATTTTGTTCTTTTTTTACATCCATGAACTGTATCTGCTCGGCTAAAGACATTTGAGGAACCTTCAGGAGTCCCAGCTGAAATGGGACACTGTGGGAAGTGAAGGCCTTGCTGACTTTCACATCATTTACTCAGAAATCCCAAAGGGGATGAAGAGAACACCACTTCAGCTGGATATCATCACAACTCCACATTCAAACCAAGATTTTCTGAATAGCTTCTGGCAGTGATGTTTTATTTTATTTTTTACATGTTTTCCCCCACACTGAGGATTTAGTGCTTCAGTATGCAGGCATACTTAACTAGGAAGTGGCTGCCAGCTGCCTGGGTGCTTAGTGATATGTCTTTGGTTAAACTTTTACTCTCAGCTTAGTTATTTCTCTGCCGATCAGGTTAGGGTGTGGACCAGAAGCTGGCCTGTCAAGTGCTGATTCAAATACTGTAAATGTTCCTTTGTGTAACCTTGAGGAGGAGCTGAGGTCTCAGAGCTCACATTGGGCTCCAGCCTCAGGAGGGGTGCTCTGAACACTCATCCATTAAGTATTGGTTCTTGTTCTTTTAATGTGTGGCATTCTTAGGGATCTGCAGTATTAACTCACACCTCATCCACATTCCTGTTAGCCACATCTGGGGGATTCTTCTTTTGTTTTTAAAATGTTCCCTCTTCTTATAGCTTTTTTTTTCAGACAAACTTATTATGTTTCTGTATATAGACCACACGTTGAATAATGTTGACTCTGTCTTAAGAGTAAGATAAAGTCTTTGAATATGTAAAGAAAAAAAAAAACATTTCAGAACAAACTTGTTTTAAAAAACATTCTGAATAAAAGAGACTTTTGTGAAAAAAGTATTTTTCAATAACTTGTCCCGTGTGTAATTAAATTGCAATTTCTTGATGAAAGATTTCAAAACCTTCAGCAGCAGTTGAGACATTTTGATTTTAGAGATGCTTAAAATATGCCCTAAAGATGAAATCTAATTTTTTTATTCATTTTGGCTGTAGAAGCTGCTACTAATTAGTTATTTAAGGGTGGAATCCATAGGATGTGATTTAAACACGTAGGGCTTTTTGCATTTATCACAAATTTATTATGGCAAAGTAGAGCTTGGCATATTTTTAATTTGTTTAAAAAAGTTAAAAATGCTATTTTATCATTGTTAGTTGTTTTATTAGTACTAATCTACAGCCTGGAAGGTTAATTTTTACAATAAAGATTTATTTTTTTGCTCAATATCTAGATGAATATTCTTAAAGTAAAGCATATGCAGATTGCACCAATCATTAAACAGCACACTTTTTAGATTTTCTGGCGTTTTTGACCTATAGGGGGCAGCAGAGCATTGACGCTACCGGAAACGATAGGAAAGAAGAAGATGATCCCATCATGCTTTAATAAGGATAGTTGTGAAACAGCTACTTTGTTATGTAGTGAAATGTGGAGCTGTTTTTGCGTGTGTTTTCTTTGTTAAAGTGTGAACATATATTCCGGAGCAGTCGGCTGCTGAAGTGAATTTAAACGAGGCCTGTAGCTTGTTCCAGCTGGAAGAAATGAGCTCGGTCCGACAGGAAGGTGAGCATCCTGAGCTAGCCGGCGGCTAACTTTTCTGGAAAGCTAACACTAAAGTTTAGTTTAGCGTGATTAGAAAATTAACCCCGGGGTTCTTACAGCGTGTCTCAACAATGATTTATGGTTATATGTGAGGCGGGACATTTTGAAGCTGTGAAGTCTATTATCAGTGGACTGATCTCTGCTGTGATAATCTCGGGGTTTAACCTTGAGCACACACAAGCTGCATGTCACAACTAGCATAAATCTAAGATTAAATTAATAAAAGTCGCTTAGCTTCCGTCTGAAACCGGATTTTTATACTAATCCATTCGGATGGAAACATCCCTGTATGTTCCACAGACGTGATATACTATTTAGCATCTACTCTTAATGAGTTCATAATTACTGTTTTTAACTTTGAAAGCTGAAATTTGTTAAACAAGATTGTGACAGATTAAAGCTCTAACCTATCCATCTCATTTGGTTTTGTGACGTCTTCTCAAGTAGTTTGTCATATATTTTTGCTCCACGCTGCAGGTAAAGACAAAATCATATTTGTCACCAAAGAGGATCATGAAACGCCGAGCAGTGCTGAGCTTGTAGAGGAAGACCCCAATGATCCATACGAGGAGCAAGGTGAGCTGGTCTCTGGATGAGTGTCTCTGGTTTCTGATATGCAACGTCTCAACCAACCTGGACTTTCACTCTTTTCCTTTTAGGTCTGATTCTCCCCAGTGGGGAGATAAACTGGAACTGTCCCTGCCTGGGCGGGATGGCCAGCGGTCCCTGTGGGACTGAATTCAAGGACGCCTTCTCCTGCTTCCACTACAGTAAGGAGGAGGTGAAAGGCTCTGACTGCCTGGAGCAGTTCAGGACCATGCAGGAGTGTCTGCAGCGCTACCCAGAGCTTTACCCAAAGGAGGACGACGCACCGTCCAGCCAGGCGTCTGAGGAATCTGCGTCTGCGGAATCTGCGTCTGCGGAAGCGTCAGACCCAGCAGCTGGCTCTGAGAAGGACTCTGATCCCACACTGCCTAACACAGAGAGCTCAGCAGAGAGCTAATATTGAGCCTTACTGTGGAGCTTATGGCTCATTTCACATTCAGTCATCTTGTTATACATCTGAAAAAAAAAAAAAAAAGATTTTTCCAATAAATATTCATCAGAATTAAAAGTACAAAGATAAAAGGGCTTGTTTCGTGGAAAAAAAAAACTAAACAAAAACAGGTCAAACTCGTATCATACAAGCTGATCATGTAGCTGTTTGGCAAAAATAAGCCTGCTTGAGTAAAAGAGGCCAACAGCAGCTACTGTCAAGTCAACAATCATTTCTATAGGCAGGTGATTTCTCTGCAGAACAGAACTCATTTCATGCAGAACCGTTACAGTTTCAATTCTGTGACAGATTATTAAGGTTTGACTCATTAAGGTTTGACACTATGTGGGTTCCTCAGGTCAAAGATGGGTTAAACAGGAGATAATTACTTGACTTTGGTCTGTGATCTTACAGGACCAAGCTCATCATGCTCACCGGGTGCACATTGTGTATACTTCTGTTTGCCTTTCTGTCTACTCTGATTGATCATAACTTCAGTAACTTGTGTTTTAAACTATTGGTTGTGCCCTCCTTTTTACAAATAGGTTTTACAAAATTTCGTAGAAAGTTCAAAGTGTATTTTATTTTCACTGTCCTGTGGCTGAATCCTCAGAGATATGAAGACTTAATGTACCGAAGAATACTTCAGTCACTTTCCATTGTGAGCTCCTCAGTGTTGTTTCCACTGTTGCCTCTCAGGCTGCACTTATTCTTCTTAATTTATATCCAGACTTGAAGTATTTACCTCATCTGAACCAAACTCAACCTTTTGTGTGCAGCAAAAGAACGATTGCAGTGAAAATTGCTGACAGTTTTGTAATAAAAAGCATTGTAACTCTTCATCGTTTTGCACTTTATTTAAAACAATATTAATGTAACCAACCAAGTAAAACTATCCTGACCATTAAAAACAAATGTTTTCATTTGGACCTGGAGTTGTGGCATACTGAGAATACTCCAGGATATTACCAACTATCAAGCACGGTGGTGGCAACATCATGCTATGGACCTTTTATACTGCATGTGGTAATGTTGCAATGCACAAAGTGTTTAAAAAACATGGAGAACACCACAGATGAGCAGGTCAGCATTAAGGTCAGAACTCAAGCCTGCTAAATTGTATTGTTAATTTTGATCTTGGCTATATTAAATATTAAAGGTGGGGTATCACAAGGGCCACAACTGTATTTTTTATTGCCTAGCTGCATATTCAGTCAATCTGGAGGGAAATCTGAGTTGCAGCTTCCAGCTTGGTGCAAACTTTAAGGTTTCTTGCACATCTTTTAGATTTTGAATCAATTAACTCTAATTTAAAATCTAAAATACTGAGTATGACCAGACTGCTTCTGTATGATTACTTGCAACCAAAGCTTGAGCTTTTGTATGAAAAGTTGTAATTATGATGGCTAATGTTGTGCGCTTTCATTATGAACAGAATTTAACATATTAATAATGCCTATTTAATCAAAGCACAGCAAATGGGCATTTCAAGCATCCAACACGTCCCTCTTGATAATGAGATCCAGATCTCAACAGGGTTTACCTGGTTAAATAAAGGAAATACATTTTAGTTTTGGAGAATTCATCATTTCTCAGAAATTGTGAACATTCAGAGTGCATTCAAATGATTAGGATCAGATTTTGTCACGCATTGTATCACACTTTGTATTATGACAAAACAGAGGTTGGTCTCCATGTTGGTCTGCTCAGTCTGTGCGACTTCAGCCTCTTCCATGGATCAATAATTATCAAACATCCCTGTGGAGCTACTGTATTTTCATTGGCGAACCCTTCCAGACCAAAGGTAACGTAGAAACCAATGGGGACGGAAAGGGAAGAGGGACTGGCCCCAATAAGTACACAGATTCTCTCTACGCAGATGCTTGTTTTGTTGCATCAGTTGATGCTGCCATCGGTGTGCAGCCTGAACTTTGCCTCCTTGGTCTCTGCTGCAAACGTATAAACAGAGAGAAGCCTCCAGGATGTCGGATTTAAAGGATCTATGTAGCGGTCTACCCCTGGATCCTTTGCCGCCAAACCGAGGAAGAGATCCAAATGTGCCACACGCTCCGGTCCGGACTCCCAACCTCAGGGCTGAGGAGGAACGAGTGAGTAACTCCTGACATCTGTTCTTCCATGGAAGTATTTTGTTGGAAGACGTTTTAGCTGTAGTTGTTATTGCGTGCATTTCATGGTAATGTTTACTACCATTACCATTTAAATACACACTGTAAACTGAAACCTGCATAACACCCATTAAAAATATAAAAACTAACTACATGTAGATGCATCTCTGCCTGTTAATAATGTATGAATGATGACACTATTAAAAGATCCACATTTACCATGGAAGTGATAGAGCTGAGAGCAGTAGCCAGAGCCTCATCTGCACTCTGTGTTTTCTTGCATCACTCTCTGTTGGTTCAACCTCGAAATTGATTATTTTCAGAGGTCCTAAAATGATTGCCCAAACCCAGAAAAAAACACCTCAGTCAATAATTAAAGGAGGGAAGCAGGGAATGATCTACCTCTGACATGAAAACTTGAGAAAAAAGGAATGACAGATTTGTGTGACAAGGCTCTGCTTTCACTAATTCACAGTAAATCATCTTTATCCTTCTACAGCTGGCACTGAGAAATGCTCTGCGCTACTTCCCACCGTCCCACCATGCAACACTCGCGTCTGAATTTGCTCAGGAGCTCCGGCAGTACGGACATATATATATGTACCGCTTCTGCCCCGCGGTGCGGATGAGGTATGGGGCCCCCACTGTTAACCCGGTTAAGAATTTCCAGGGGTCAAAGTTAGACATTAGAGTTTCTCAGGATTAAATGTCTTGAAATTCCCTGAACTTCATATAATCATCTAAATTAAAATAAAATATGTTGAAAAAAATTGAAGTCCTACATTTAGGTTTTATAACAAATGTAATGCAAATACCACGGATAGGTTCTACCCATTGCTAAATCATTATGTAACTGTGCTTTCCAAAAGTATTTATACTCTTCATACATTTCCAAATTGTCTTATGTTCTACGTATTTCATCAGAATTTTATGTGATAGACCAACACAAAGTAGTGCATAATTGTGAAATGAAAGAAAAAATACACATTTTATTTGCAAATGGACATCTGAAAGGCGTGTTCACCCTAGTTACACTGATACCCCTAAATAGAATCACATGCAGCGGTTTTCATTTAGAAGTTGCCCAACCAGTAAATGAAGTCGTTGTGTATTTATTTTAATCTCAGAGGCGTAACACAAGTGCAGCAGCTACAATGCTAAAGGCTCTGAAGTTTGCTAGAGAATGTTAAACAATAGGTTACAAAACAATATATAAAGCTCATATAAAATATGAGCTTTATAAAGTGAACTGTTCAATTCATAATCATAACATGGAACATTTGACATGGAAGGACATCTAAAGAGAGGATTATTCAGGCAGCAACAGAGACTCTGTGGTGACTCTGGCAAAGCTACAGAGGCACATGGGTGGAAAACACTGTTAAACGGACAACTATTACTCATGCACTCTAGAAATCTGGCCTTTAAGCACGGAAAAAAATACTGTAAAAAAAAGAAACATCAGAAAACAATAATTTTTGCACAAGTATGGAATAAAGCAAAAAATTTGGAAGAACCAAAATGGGCTTTTTTTGGCCTGCATGAACAACACATGTCAACCTGAGATGAAACATAGTAGTGGCTGCATTATACTTTGGGGATATTTTCTTCTGCTGGGACAAGGAAGTTTTCTTCGGAAATACATGGAGATAATTTCAAGATAATCCCAAAAGAAAACTTGTTAGAGGCAGTAAAAGACATCCGACTGGGCTGAAGGTTCATCTTCCAGTGACAATCAGCGAACAACCGGAGCTTCAGAATGGTTTGGATGAAAACACATTCACCTTTTCGATCAAAATCTATTTGAGAATTGATAGCTATCATACATTTAAGATTTTAATAGACACACATTTTGAAAGAATGTGTCAATTTTCTTTGATTTTCACAATTTTCATGGCTTTTTGTTGGTCAATCACAACAAATTGTAATGAAAGGAAGGAAGCTGTAATGTGGCAAAATGTGAAAAAGTTTTTTTTTCTTTTTTTTACATCAGCTTTCATTCATATCTTCAGAAATGAAATAATGTCTTTTAACAACTTATGCTTCATGCTAATAAAAAAATCAAAGATACTAACCAGCATTGTGTCAAGATACTGTTGAGACTTAAGGTAATTTCCTGCACTGCTGCTATGACATGAATGCCTGTCTCTTCTGCAGAGCCTATCCTATAGATCAGTATCCCTGCCGCACACGACAAGCAGCAGCTATGATGCTAATGATCATGAACAACCTGGACCCAGCTGTTGCTCAGGTGAGCGTTTTGTGATCGGCTTGACTAACCATGTCTAATTTAATATCACGAACAGGGGCGTCCAAGTTCAGGCCTCAAAAGCAACTATCCAACAACGTTTAGGTGCAAACCTTCTCCAATACCACTGAGTAAATGACCGGTTGGTTAACAGTCGTCTCCAGAGGAGGAAGTTCAGTCATGTGACAGGTGTTGGAGCAGGGACGCCTCTAAAGGTTGCAGGATAGTAGACGGACGTGGGCAGCCCTGAAATGAAGGAAAACCAACTTTCCTCCTCCTGCAGTTTCCCCAGGAGCTCGTCACGTACGGAGGGAACGGACAGGTGTTCAGTAACTGGGCCCAGGTGAGTCCAGAGCAAACCCAAAATATAATTTTTCTCTTATACTTACTACATGCTAACTTGAACAGCTGAATAATAACTGTGTTCAGTTTCGCCTTGTGATGCGCTACCTGAGTGAGATGACTGAGGAGCAAACTCTAGTCATGTACAGCGGTCACCCCATGGGCTTGTTCCCCAGCCTGCCTTCCTCTCCGCGGGCCATCATCACTAACGGCATGGTACCGGCAGAACACACCCCATGTGCTAACAACAGACACGAACAATAAACTCACATTTGTTTCTGTGCGTTTGTCCTGTTCATTCCCTCAGGTTATTCCAAATTATTCCTCCAGAGAACAATATGAGAGGATGTTCGCTCTCGGCGTGTCAATGTAAGTCTTTTCCAAACCTGTTCTCTTCAACAGGGTTCTGGTGTATTTTTAGCTGGATATTCATTTTCTATGCTTTTAGAAATGTTCATTTAAATCTGTCGATTTGGTTGAAAGAAAATCTACAAACTGCAGTGGAAAGACATGAGGACAGGATCACACTAAAGATGAATGTCTGTTGGCTTCATCCATCCAAAAACCAGCTTTGACGTGTGTTTTGGGATCTTGTTCCTGTTAAATGTGTGCAGGTTTCACGTATGTCACCTAAGCTATCATCCTAAAGTTAATAAAAAAAATGGTTGAATTAAAAGAAAATCTTCATAAACTGGATAAAGCTCAAGCAACGGTGTCACCATAGAGTCTTATTCAAGGGCTGGGGAAGGGCTGCTTGAAGTTTTATCAGGGGAAGCATTTTCTAGCAAAGGAAACTGCATTCTCGACTATTTCCAAAACCCAGATGCATCTCTCTCATGTGTTGCCCTTATTATGAGTGAAGTTAAATCCTGGCATTCTTAAATAAGGCCCTTTTCCTGCTGGAAAACGCTGACTCAGATGTGAATGTTGATTCCAGGAAAGAAAAAAAAATGTGTGCAGTCAAAATATTACCTTGGACCACAGAGTGGTTCAGCCATGGACTGTCCCTTTGCAAAGAGCTGAGCACTTTTCTCTGTTCTTGTTCCACGCTGAGTGTTTGGGAACATTTTCATTTACCACCGATCAGGAGCCTGTTCTCTGGTTCTGGAGTTGTCTAGAAGACGCA